TATATATATATTGAAGTGAATGTCAATTTTTATCAATAAAGACAAAGATAACTAAAAAGGTTGAGCTCCTTAATAATCAGATCTTCATTTTGTTATCATATTATGCATATTTTTACCTTTTTCAGTATTTGAGTGTTTATAACATGGCTGACAAAGGAGACAAGGACAAAGGCAAAGCAGTAGTGATTGAAATAAGTTCCTCTGATGAGTCTGTTTCTATTTTTGATTCTGATTCTGATTACCAAATTCCCCTTAAGAAAACAGTTCCGAAGCTATCCGTTTCCCCTTCTTCGAAGAAGAGAACCTATCAACAAGTAGAACCACTAAACTTATCAAAGGATCCAAAGGGTAACAAACCTGAGGATTCTAGCCCAACACCAGAGACACAACCAAGAAAGAAAGTGCATTATACCTGTAAGAAATCTGTCAAATATGTGTTGAAGAAGCTCAAAGGCTTATGCTCTGATAAAGTGCTCACCATGATTGCAAAACTTTGTCCGGTGAATTGTGAGGAGGCTTATGCGTTGATACCAACCTTGAAGGAGAAAGAAGAATGGATTGATGAACCTCTTGCCCTTACTCTATCCACTCTTAAATTTCTCAGAGTTCAAAAGGATTAGAAGCTTCGTCAATCATGAACAGGTGTAGTTTTCTGTGGTTCTGTAATATTTGGACAAATATTTGAAGTTAAGTTTTGTTATTCAATCAAGAAATTATCAGTGTTTTAAATATTGACTTGTGTAATTGTTCCTCAGCAAACTTAAGTATGGAGATTTCCCCATGTTTATTTAGAATGAATCTAATATGAATGATGGCATTAAAGCTTTATATATATATATGTATTTAGCAAACTCAAGTATGGAGATTTCTCCATGTTTATTTAAAATGAATCTAATATGAATGCTGCAATTAAAGCTTTATATATATATAGACATGTATGTATGTATGTATGTGTGTGTGTGTGTGTGTGTGTGTGTGTGTGTGTGTGTGTGTGTGTGTGTGTGTGTGAATTAACCGTGTCAAATATTTGCTTGATGTCTTTTTAGTGTTTGAATCTACCTTTAACTACATAATATTTCAATATATTTAGACATGTAATAATAAATTTAATTTTTGAAGTGCTTGGGATATTTTAAAAAAATGGGATCGATTGGAAGTAATTTATTTTATCTTTAATTTTTATATTATTTTTGGAATTAATACCATTCACTACCTCTTATCATTCATGACTCATTGGTTCTTCAAGTTTTTTACCATTTAATCGACAAAAGAGAATAATATGATATAATTTGGCTGGCACTCTCTTTTCTAACTTGAAGAGCCAATGGATAAAGTAATATCACCCTTAATAAACACTCTTAAAAATAGATGGCAAGCTACTACGTGTATACACACTCGAACATTTTCTTGAAAATTGATAAAGTTCAGTTAGTATTTTTTTAATA